GTAAATAGGTACCTAAAAGTTCATCGACAGTTATGGGTTGCATCAGAGGGAAGAGGATCTTAGGATCCCAATGGAAATCAACAAAAGTGTTAGGCTTTCTTAGACTATCCATGTATATTAAGCCTGAAGGGCCTAATAACAAGAAAACAATTTTTTTCTCAGCTATTTGAAAGCTACGGACACTTTTGGTTACATTTTAAACTGACTGAATTCTTACATTTTGTCTTATTCCCATGGTGCAAGGGCTCTTCTTTTTCGTCGTTCCATCCATCAGCCAGCCTAGCCAAAATTTTTATTTCTAATCCGTTCCGCACAGCGGTTCCCCTCAAGGAAGGTTCCTTGATGTTGGTGAGGGGCTCTTGATGTAGGGAATTGGATCTGTGCTCCAGTTCCCCGAATTAAGCCTGAATGCCTTCCACATCCCCCCCAGGCGCTGTATAATCCTCCGGGTTTAGCGCTTCCCCCTTGATTTTAATAATAATAATAATAATCCGCACAGCGGTTTCACAGTTGATATATAAATACAGTGTAGCCGATGCCTTCTGAGAGAGGTACATCCACAGTATCCTCATTCCCGTCACCAACGATGGTGAGACTATTCTCGGAGCTGCAGAGAAGAAACTGGGTTCCATCATGGACACCCACGACCGTGGGTTTAGGTTCGAGAGTCAGGGAAAACTCTAGGTCTCACCACAGCTCTACACACGAACCATGGCAAAGAAATGAAAACTATATTTAAGTTCTCTGCCAATTCTTAGCATTAGGCTTTTCGTGCACTGTCCAGCTTTACAGTCAACCAGGAGACAACTCGTGCTGCTCACCCACCAGTTCATTCACTAACTCATACAACAGAGGAAACTGCTTCCAAACACGATCAATTCTAACTTCTATAGGCGTAATGTTATAATTTTGACTGTCCTGAGACAGAAGCACTTATAATCAAATCTTCAAGAGTTTTATTATAAAATTATATAATATATATATATATATATATATATATATATATATATATATATATAATATATATATATATATATAATATATATATATAGGAGAGAGAGAGAGAGAGAGAGAGAGAGAGAGAGAGAGGGAGAGAGAGAGAGAGAACAGATGGTCAATAACTGTTCACCAAAGCGCAATAACAATGAACATAAGTGACATACACTTCCTCCCTTCTTGGCAGCCTCAATGGAATGCGGTTGCCGACGTATGGCCAGGTTGCCGACGTCGTCAGACGCTACCTGGAGAGAGGGTCCGTCCACTACGACTAGATGGCGTCAGCAGGCATATCAGCATGTCTCCGGAGGACGTGTCAGCACCTGGCCTCTTGAAAAACACAATTTTTCAGCACCCAGACTCTAAATGAACACAGATGTCAGCACCCAGACTCTAAATGAACACAGATGTCAGCACCCAGACTCTAAATGAACACAGATGTCAGCACCCAGACTAGAATGAACACAGATGTCAGCACCCAGACTCTAGAATGAACACAGATGTCAGCACCCAGACTCTAAATGAACACAGATGTCAGCACCCAGACTAGAATGAACACAGATGTCAGCACCCAGACTCTAGAATGAACACAGATGTCAGCACCCAGACTCTAGAATGAACACAGATGTCAGCACCCAGACTCTAGAATGAACACAGATGTCAGCACCCAGACTAGAATGAACACAGATGTCAGCCCCAGACTTAGAATGAACATAGATGTCAGCACCCAGACTCTAGAATGAACACAGATGTCAGCACCCAGACTAGAATGAACACAGATGTCAACACCCAGACTAGAATGAACACAGATGTCAGCACCCAGACTCTAGAATGAACACAGATGTCAGCACCCAGACTCTAGAATGAACACAGATGTCAGCACCCAGACTCTAGAATGAACACAGATGTCAACACCAGACCTAAAATGAACGCAGATGTTAGCACCCAGACTAGAATGAACACAGATGTCAGCACCCAGACTCTAGAATGAACACAGATGTCAGCACCCAGACTCTAGAATGAACACAGATGTCAGCACCCAGACTCTAGAATGAACACAGATGTCAGCACCCAGACTAGAATGAACACAGATGTCAGCACCCAGACTAGAATGAACACAGATGTCAGCACCCAGACTCTAGAATGAACACAGATGTCAGCACCCAGACTAGAATGAACACAGATGTCAGCACCCAGACTCTAGAATGAACACAGATGTCAGCACCCAGACTTAGAATGAACACAGATGTCAGCACCCAAGGCTAGAATGAACACAGATGTCAGCACCCAGACTCTAAATGAACACAAGATGTCAGCACCCAGACTAGAATGAACACAGATGTCAGCACCCAGACTCTAGAATGAACACAGATGTCAGCACCCAGACTAGAATGAACACAGATGTCAGCACCCAGACTCTAGAATGAACACAGATGTCAGCACCCAGACTAGAATGAACACAGATGTCAGCACCCAGACTCTAGAATGAACACAGATGTCAGCACCCAGACTCTAGAATGAACACAGATGTCAGCACCCAGACTAGAATGAACACAGATGTCAGCACCCAGACTCTAGAAATGAACACAGATGTCAGCACCCAGACTCTAGAATGAACACAGATGTCAGCACCCAGACTCTAGAATGAACACAGATGTCAGCACCCAGACTCTAAAATGAACGCAGATGTTAGCACCCAGACTAGAATGAACACAGATGTCAGCACCCAGACTCTAGAATGAACACAGATGTCAGCACCCAGACTCTAGAATGAACACAGATGTCAGCACCCAGACTCAAGAATGAACACAGATGTCAGCACCCAGACTAGAATGAACACAGATGTCAGCACCCAGACTAGAATGAACACAGATGTCAGCACCCAGACTCTAGAATGAACACAGATGTCAGCACCCAGACTAGAATGAACACAGATGTCAGCACCCAGACTCTAGAATGAACACAGATGTCAGCACCCAGACTCTAGAATGAACACAGATGTCAGCACCCAGACTCTAGAATGAACACAGATGTCAGCACCCAGACTCTAGAATGAACACAGATGTCAGCACCCAGACTCTAGAATGAACACAGATGTCAGCACCCAGACTCTAAAATGAACACAGACGTCAGCATCCAGACAGCTGGTAAATTCAGCCATCAACAGGTGTACCAGCTGTCTCTTGACAGCTGGTACACCTGTTATTTCCCATCATTTCATTCTGTAAGATATTAATGAAGTCGCACAATGACGTAAGTTGTAAATAAAAAGTCTAAGATTGTGTAAATATTTACAGTGACGAATAACTCATGTGAATATATTTACAGTGAGTGCAACTCTTGTAAATGTATTGACAGTGAGGTATAACTCTTGTAAATGTATTGACAGTGAGGTATAACTCTTGTAAATGTATTTACAGTGAGATGTAACTCTTGTAAATGTATTGACAGTGAGGTGTAAATGTATTTATTATGACTGTAAAACGAGCACTCAAATTGTATTTTTTTTCCCCGAAGTTCATTTAAATTTAGCTCTTGCTATCTCTTTTTTCGTCCTCTCTCTCTTCTATCTTATCATATATTAACTATTATCTATCTTATCTGTCTATATCTACTTTACTATCTATCTACTATCTATCTAAATCTATCTACTTATCTATTATCTACTTTTAACTTTTATCTGTGTGATGTCAATTTATCTATCTGGATAATGTGAGGGAGACTATTAAAGGACGAGGAACCAGGCAGTTTGTTGTTGTTTTGCACGAGTTCCTAGTACTATCACATCAATTAAAAGGGGGGGGATTAACCTTGATCCAAGGTAATTGGAGGTCCCCCCAAAAACCCCCCTTCACCGGATCATATTTGTCACTTATGCCTCTCCGTCGGGATTCAAGACTTGAACGCTTTATAATCAACGAATCTCAAGGTCGTCCTTTACCTTTCGCATTACCAATGTTTTTACCCCCTCTACGCAAAAATGTGACCCCCACTTTGGCCAAGCTATATCTAGGCTTGAGAAAAGTCAAGAGGAGATTAGACCGTTTCCTACGGTCCGCTGGTAGTAACAGTCTGGGTGATCAGGTAATAGGGGCCTGTGCAAGGGAAAAAAAGAACAACAGCTAGATACTAGAGCTAGGCACCCCTCAGTGACCCTTAGGTGTTTAGCGCTTTCCATGAATAAATAATAAATAATAATATTGATGATAACAATAATAATAATTTTATAATAATAATAATTATAATAACAATAACAATAAGAAGAAGAATCATATAATAGGAAGTGACATGGAAGAGGAAGGGCCCAGGAGCCATGGTTCAACTCCCTTACATAGTGATCTAGGTGATTACAGTTGATTACTAAAATACAGACACCAGCCATCACTGTTCCCTGGGGCCCTTTCCCTTTCCTTCCTCCCTCCCCCCCGTCTCTCCCAAATTCTCCCTCCCTCCCTCGTCTCTCCCATTCTCCCTCCCTTCGTTGCTCCCTTTCTGCCTCCCTTCCTCCCTCCCTCACTCACTCACTCACTCCCTCCCACCCTTTTCTCTTTCTCCCTTCCCCTCCATGTCTGCCTTCCTCCCTCCTTTCCGACCTTTCCTCCAGCTTCCCTGTTGTCCGAGAGAGAGAGAGAGAGAGAGGGGAGAGAAAAGAGAGAGAGAGGGGAGAGAGAGAGAGAGAGAGAAAAAAAAAAGGGGGGGAGAGAGATAGATAGAGAGAGATAGAAGGTTTCGATCATTATTATATATAAACAATAAGAGCAATAACGAAAACATAAATACTGGAAAGGATGCAGGTGGATTTAAAAACAGGAATAAAAATAGGGAGAGGCACAGGTGGAGAAAGTGGGGGAGAAGGAAAGGAGAAGGTGAACACTCTGTATCTGACCCCAAACACAGACCTGAGAGAGGGAGGGGGGTGCTTCAGGGCACTGCTCTCTGATTGGCTGAATGATTGGTTGGCTGGCTGGCTGGCTATTTAAGAGAGAGGGCATGCAATGGCTCAGCCAGTCTTGCTCCTGCCCTCTGCTGCTGCTGTAAGTCTTCAGGTATACCCGGGAGTCTAGTGCCACTCAGAGCCCACCCTTCGTGGCACCCGCTACTAGTGGCAACCAATCGCCAATAGCCTATATCATCCACCGCCCGTGCCAGTCACTGTCCTTGGCGCCCACGGCCGCCAATAGGCCTACTAGCATGCATAACCAGGGTAAGCACAGCCTGGAGGATCATCACGAGCACCAGTCAACAACAATATGCAATAATACAAACGCACGTCTGTAGCAACCTCTAGTTGACCTTGCGATAGTTCCGAGGTCACCGCCCCCTCCATCCGTGCCCCGGACGTAATCCAGACCTGCCTGTCGGAAACCTGATCAGTCAGGCTGTTGGTGCTCTCTCCATACAGTCCTCAAGTTTCTCTGGCAGTCAGTGAATTATGTATTGGTGATGTAAACACAGGCACAGTATGACGTCACGTGTGGTAGAACTGAGCGAAACATCTGTGTGAGTGACACGTGACACTTGTTTTGAGTGACACCTGACACTTGTTTTGAGTGACACGTGACACTTGTTTTGGGGTGGGAAAGTGACACTTGTTTTGGGTGCACGTGACTGTTTTGGGTGTTTGGTGACACGTGACATTGTTGAGTGACACTGACACTTGTTTTGGTGGGCACGTGACACTTGTTTTGAGTGACACGTGACACTTGTTTTGAGTGACACGTGACACTTGTTTTGAGTGACACGTGACACTTGTTTTGAGTGACACGTGACACTTGTTTTGAGTGACACATGACACTTGTTTTGAGTGACACGTGACACTTGTTTTGAGTGACACGTGACAATTGTTTTGGTGACACATGGGCATGTTTTGAGTGACACGTGACACTTGTTTTGATGACACGGACATTTTTGAGTGGAACGTGCACTTGTTTTAGGACAAAAGCAGTTTGAGTGACAGTGATTGTTTGAGGACACATGGCCGTTTTATACACCACTAATGACCATGACACTTGTTTTAGTGACCGTTGACATTGGTTTGAGGTGGGGACACGGTGACACTTGTTTTGAGGGCACTGAATTGTTTTGAGGCACAATATTGTTTTTGGGACAGTGACAAGTTTTTAAACACTGCACTTGTTTTGATGCCGGTTTTAGTGATGGAACCGGGTTTTACAAAAGGATAAGAGCTTAGCCATGTTTATTAGCCACCTTGGCCTTTATACACTAAACGAAAACTTTGATGTGGCATTCAGTGTGTTTGAGACCCGATGAGGACAAGGTGAGCTGTGCCCGTTAGGGACGGGTATGTTCAAGTATGTCATAGCCAAGAACCTACCCGTGTTTTGGGTTGTGATGGTGTTAAGAGTCATTTGAAGAACTCTGTGTATATGATTGATGGCCCTGGCGTTTTGGAAATTCTGGCTGTGATGGCGTGGGTTTGGGTCTCTGCTACTGGTGTTAGGTTTAGTTTTGGTTGAGATTTGTTCCCAGCGTAAATTGGACAGTTGTTCATTGGGGGGGTAAAAGGTGATTCAGTGTGTTGCGAGTTCCTTTTTCTTAGCAGGTTCCCGTTGCTGGCAGTCATACTTTTTATAAGCGTAATGCTGGCGATGTTTTCAGAAACGTATACAGCTGGAGGAGCAGTGTGCCGGTCTGGTATCTTTGTCTAGTGATGTGAAAGATCTTAACATCTTTCCTTGTGTAATAGTTGATGATGACGTGTGCTGGGTACTGTGTAGCACGTCGTGGTGTGACTGGGTGTGTGCGTCGTGGTGTGACTGGGTGTAGTGCGTCGTGGTGTGACTGGGTGTAGTGCGTCGTGGTGTGACTGGGTGTAGTGCATCGTGGTGTGACTGGGTGTAGTGCGTCGTGGTTTGACTGGGTGTATACTAGATTATCCTTATTCTTTCTGTAGAATTTAAAATTCTGCTTTTTTTTTTTGGGGGGGGGGGAGGGGGTCACTCACGCAAAGTAAAACATTAAGAAAGGCTAAGAAATTAATCTGTCTTCCTTCCATGGTGAATTCCAAGGAAGGTTCCATGTTGTTGAGAGGTGCCAGTTTGTAGATTCAACTACAGTGACAGTCATTGTACTCCTGGCTAAACACCGTCTGAAAAAAAATTGACGTCACTCACCCTCGAGTCAGGGCCTGACAACCTGCCTGTGGTACTTAGACTGCGGGCTGCCAGTACCAACAGCCACGAAGGCGATGGGCCCCGGAATCGACAACAGGTAGATTACAAGTATCTCTCTGCCCCTGTTTCTTGTCATGTAGATGTCCAATCAAACCCCTCCATCGAGAGTTCGCCAACAATTCCTGACAACCTCAACTTTAGCAGAGTCCGGAGAGTCAAGTCTAATCTACATGCAACTCTGGTAGTTTCTGAGGCAATCCTCTGGAACTGCTGGAGTCAAATGTTTCTTTCTGACTTCTTTCTTGTTTTTTGGAGGCGTGTGTGTTTACATGCCCATACATGCATGTTAAAACAATTTTGTCTATATAAAAGAATGCAGAATAATTGGCTTTATTTCACTGACAGGAAAGGCAGCTGTCTTGCTTCTGGCTGTCGTCACAATGATCCGAACAGTTGAGAGAAGCCAGGCAACAACAACAACATCCCCAGAAACAGCAGAAGCATCAGAAACAGCATCAGCAACAGAAGCAGCAAAAGTAGCAGAAACAATCACATCAGCAACAATACCATCAGTACCAGAAGCATCAGCAGTAAGAGCAACGGTGGCTCCCCAGGACGATACTGAGAGTGAAGACATCGCTTATAGACATGTTGACAACTATCAACACAATAACATCACCGCTACGACCAAGGCTAAAAACATCAAGAAGGAGAATCGACAATCAGACGGTGTCTCCAAGGGACTAAGTATAACAGGCCTGACCACCGGAACTCAGATTGCTTTGCCCAGCTTCGACCCATTATCCGCCTTAGGGAACCAACTCGCCTTTCCCAGCTTTGACACGTTTTCCGTCTTTGGCAATGCTCAGTCTGCCGTTCAAGCCGTGGATTCGATCTCGGTGGTAGAGACTCAGATTGACCCAGCTAACCTCACAAGCTTCTTCATCGGCAACAACCTGACAGTCACCATCAACTATGATGAGCTGATAGCCGAGTTCTTCGCCTTCGTTCCATTCTTCATAGCGGCGGTAGCCGCGGCTGGCATCCTGGGTGTTCTAGGTGTTATTGCTGTGGCTGCCAAGGGAAAGTGAGTATGCTCTCTCTCTCTCTCTCTCTCTCTCCCATGGCAGTAATGTCAAGTAAGTGTGTGTCCTTGTGTGTGTAACATTAGAATTATTTTTTAATTAAATCTTGTAGCATCACCACTGTAGCATTAGTAACAGTAGTGGAATAGATATTGTAGTGCAACTTTAACATTAGGAACGCTAGTGGTGTAGACCTTGTAGCAGCAATGCTGTAACAGCAGTGTAGTAACAATGCTGTAACAACAGTGGAGAAAGCATTGCTGTAACAGCATGTGTAGTAACAATGCTGTAACAACATGGAGTAGCATTGCTGTAACAGCAGTTAAGTAACAATGCTGTAACAACAGTGGAGTAGCATTGCTGTAACAGCAGTGTAGTAACAATGCTGTAACAACAGTGGAGTAGCATTGCTGTAACAGTAGTGTAGTAACAATGCTGTAACAACAGTGGAGTAGCATTGCTGTAACAGCAGTGGTAGTAACAATGCTGTAACAACAGTGGATTTAGCATTGCTGTAACAGTAGTGTAGTAACACTGCCGTAACAGAAGTGGAGTAGCAATGCTGTAACCAGCAACTCATGTAGAGATGAAACCTGACCCCCTGCAACCACACATGTAAGAGTACACATTTGTATTAACGCTCAGGTGTGCACACTTACAGGTGTGACTGCAGGAGTTAGGTTTCATCCCTACAGAAGCTATTGCTTCCTAGCCTCTTTTATCCTATCGTACCTAATATACGGGGTGTTCCAAAGAGATGGACTAATAGCTTCATTTGTTATTGTTGTCTGTCTATAGTTCAAGCTGAGGGACTGATAACCTTATCTTCTGTTGTCTTGTGTGTATAGTTCTCTCAGACTGAGGGACTAATTACCTCACATTCTACTGTCTTCCTATATCATCTCTGTACTGAACTACAAAAGCCACTGACTGGAGAAACATCTTCCTCCGGACATACACAGGTGTTGCACATGTGTTTAATTTCTCATCTTGTCGGTATTGTATACCAACATGCAATCATAAACCCATCATAGTATGGTTGATCCACCACTTAAACCCCCCCCCCCCAAAAAAAAAATACCCTCAGAAATACTTTTTTTCGTAGTTCGCTTTGATTTAGAAACCTCACTTTGATTTATTTAGAAACCTGACTTTGATTTGTTCAGAAACCTCGTTTTCATTTATTTAGAAACCTCGTTTTCATATATTTAGAAATCTCGTTTTCATTTATTTAGAAACCTCATTTTCATTTATTTAGAAACCTCGTTTTCATTTATTTAGAAACCTCGTTTTCATTTATTTAGAAACCTCGTTTTCATTTATTTAGAAACCTCGTTTTCATTTATTTAGAAACCTCGTTTTCATTTATTTAGAAACCTCGTTTTCATTTATTTAGAAACCTCGTTTTCATTTAGAAACCTGACTTTGATTTATTTAGAAACCTGACTTTGATTTATTTAGAAACCTCTATATCAGTTATTCTTTCCCATGCATAAAGTTGCCCTAACAACAAGTCTCCACTTTATTCTGTAAATAACCGCACATAGGAGAAACTTACGACAACGTTTCGGATCGAAACGTCTCCTATGTTCGGGTTATTTGTGTATCGTTCCAGCCACGGTATTGTGCCCTTTTTGTTCTCTATTTTGTACATACTGTTTATGTGTCTAGTGTAAATAATTGTAAATATCGGTTACAGAGTTGCAACATTTGCTGTAAATCTTTTTCGTAGTGTTTAGGTGCTTATTGTAAATAATTCCACAGTGCTGAGGTGTACATTGTAAATATATATTTTTTTACGATGGTCAGCAGCGTGTTGTAAATAATTTTATCACAGTTCTGATGTGCCTGTTGTAAATAATTTTCAGAGAGCTGTTCCATGTGTATTGCTGTAAATACGAAGCTAATATCTCACTTCCTCTACTTCCGTTCCTCTCTGTACCTCCCCTCTCCTCTCTCTCTCTCTCTGTACCTGTCTCTACCTCTCTCTCTCTCTCTCTCTCTCTCTCTCTCTCTGTACCTGTCTCCTACCTCTCTCTCTCTCTCTCCTCTCTTCACTCTCCTCCTCTCTCTCTCCTCTCCGTTCTCTCCATCTCTCGACTCTCTCTGCGTCAGCAGTCATCTCATCTCGCTCATGCTCTACGCCTCGTGTACCGCACTCTTTGTACCTTCCGCAGCCTCCGCTCCATGTACTTAAACAGACACAAAGGACACGAGTCATGGAAGCGGAGGCAGCAGCACAGTGGCAGTCTACGGCAGCAGTGGTTACGGCAGCATGTTACGGCAAGCATGTTTACGGCAGCAGTGCGCTCTGCAGCAGTGGTTACGGCAGCAGTGCTTCTAGCAGTACTGGTGCGCTGCAGTGGCACGGCAGTGACATCTCTACCTCTCTAATCACTATGCTCGACCAAAGCTCTTATACTGTCTACAGGGTCGTTCAGACAGCTTTCTGAAATATCAGTGAATCTCTCTCTCTCTCTCCTCTCTTCTCGTCTCTACGTCTCTCTCTCTCTCTCTCTCTCTCTCTCATCTCTTCTCTCTCTCTCTCTCTCTCTTTCCCTCTCTCTCTCTCTGCCTATAGTTTAACTTCTGCTTAACATTAATATAACATTAGCATTGTTCCTGTACATTCTATTAATATTTATGCTTATTTAATAAATTATTACTGTTATCTGGACTTTATATTATACCTCTATATTTCCACGTCAATAATGGTTATATTGGCCTGGTCCCTTGCATGGTTTGCTGTGCCTGGTTCCTTGCATGGCTTGCTGTGCCTGGTCACTTGCATGGCTTGCTGTGCCTGGTCCCTTGCATGGCTTGCTGTGCCTGGTTCCTTGCATGGCTTGCTGTGCCTGGTCACTTGCATGGCTTGCTGTGCCTGGTCACTTGCATGGCTTGCTGTGCCTGGTCACTTGCATGGCTTGCTGTGCCTGGTCACTTGCATGGCTTGCTGTGCCTGGTCACTTGCATGGCTTGCTGTCTGTCACTTGCATGGCCCTTGCTGTGCCTGGTCACTTCCGCATGGCTTGCTGTGCCTGTCACTTGCATGCTTGCTGTGCCTGTCACTTGTATGGCTTGCTGTGCCTGGTCCCTTGCATGGCTTGCTGTGCCTGGTCACTTGCATGGCTTGCTGTGCCTGGTCCCTTGCATGGCTTGCTGTGCCTGGTCACTTGCATGGCTTGCTGTGCCTGGTCACTTGCATGGCTGTGCTGTGCAGGTCCCTTGATGGCTTGCTGTGCCTGGTCCTTTGCATGGCTTGCTGTGCCTGGTCCCTTGCATGGCTTGCTGTGCCTGGTCCACTTGCATGGCTTGCTGAGCCTGGTCACTTGCATGGCTTGCTGTGACCTGGTCACTTGCATGGCTGCTGTGCCTGGTCACTGCATGCTTGCTGTGCCTGGTCACTTGCATGGCTTGCTGTGCCTGGTCACTTGCATGCTTGCTGTGCCTGGTCACTTTGCATGGCTTGCTGTGCCTGGTCCTTGCATGGCTTGCTGTGCCTGGTCACTTGCTGGCTGCTGTGCCTGGTCCCTTGCATGGCTTGCTGTGCCTGGTCACTTGCATGCTTGCTAGCCTTGTCACTGCATGGCTTGCTGTGCCTGGTTCCTTGCATGGCTTGCTTTGTGCCTGGTCACTTGCATGGCTTGCTGTGCCTGGTCCCTTGCATGGCTTGCTGTGCCTGGTCACTTGCATGGCTTGCTGTGCCTGGTCACTTGCATGGCTTGCTGTGCCTGGTCACTTGCATGGCTTGCTGTGCCTGGTCACCTTGCATGGCTTGCTGTGCCTGTCCCTTGCATGGCTTGCTGTGCCTGGTCACTTGCATGGCTTGCTGTGCCTGGTCCCTTGCATGGCTTGCTGTGCCTGGTCACTTGCATGGCTTGCTGTGCCTGTCACTTGCATGGCTTGCTGTGCCTGGTCACTTGCATGGCTTTGCTGTGCCTGGTCACTTGCATGGCTTGCTGTGCCTGGTCCCTTGCATGGCTTGCTGTGCCTGGTCACTTGCATGGCTTGCTGTGCCTGGTCACTTGCATGGCTTGCTGTGCCTGGTCACTTGCATGGCTTGCTGTGCCTGGTCACTTGCATGGCTTGCTGTGCCTGGTCCCTTGCATGGCTTGCTGTGCCTGGTCACTTGCATGGCTTGCTGGCCTGGTCACTTGCATGGCTTGCTGTGCCTGGTCACTTGCATGGCTTGCTGTGCCTGGTCCCTTGCATGGCTTGCTGTGCCTGGTCCCTTGCATGGCTTGCTGTGCCTGGTCCCTTGCATGGCTTGCTGTGCCTGGTCCCTTGCATGGCTTGCTGTGCCTGGTCACTTGCATGGCTTGCTGTGCCTGTCCCTTGCATGGCTTGCTGTGCCTGGTCACTTGCATGGCTTGCTGTGCCTGGTCCCTTGCATGGCTTGCTGTGCCTGGTCCCTTGCATGGCTTGCTGTGCCTGGTCCCTTGCATGGCTTGCTGTGCCTGGTCACTTGCATGGCTAGCTGTGCCTGGTCCCTTGCATGGCTTGCTCTGCCTGATCCCTTGCATGGCTTGCTGTGCATGGTCACTTGCATGGCTTGCTGTGCCTGGTCCCTTGCATGGCTTGCTCTGCCTGATCCCTTGCATGGCTTGCTGTGCCTGGTCCCTTGCATGGCTTGCTGTGCCTGGTCCCTTGCATGGCTTGCTGTGCCTGGTCCCTTGCATGGCTTGCTCTGCCTGGTCCCTTGCATGGCTTGCTCTGCCTGGGTCCCTTGCATGGCTTGCTGTGCCTGGTCCCTTGCATGGCTTGCTGTGCCTGTCCCTTGCATGGCTTGCTGTGCCTGTCCCTTGCATGGCTTGCTTGCCTGGTCCCTTGCATGGCTTGCTCTGCCTGGTCCCTTGCATGGCTTGCTGTGCCTGGTCCCTTGCATGGCTTGCTGTGCCTGGTCCCTTGCATGGCTTGCTGTGCCTGGTCCCTTGCATGGCTTGCTGTGCCTGTCCCTTGCATGGCTTGCTCTGCCTGGTCCCTTGCATGGCTTGCTCGTGCCTGAGTCCCTTGCATGGCTTGCCTGCCTGGTCCCTTGCATGGCTTGCTCTGCCTGATCCCTTGCATGGCTTGCTGTGCCTGGTCCCTTGCATGGCTTGCTCTGCCTGGTCCCTTGCATGGCTTGCTCTGCCTGATCCCTTGCATGGCTTGCTCTGCCTGGTCCCTTGCATGGCTTGCTGTGCCTGATCCCTTGCATGGCTTGCTCTGCCTGATCCCTTGCATGGCTTGCTCTGCCTGATCCCTTGCATGGCTTGCTCTGCCTGGTCCCTTGCATGGCTCGCTCTGCCTGATCCCTTGCATGGCTTGCTGTGCCTGGTCCCTTGCATGGCTTGCTCTGCCTGGTCCCTTGCATGGCTTGCTCTGCCTGATCCCTTGCATGGCTTGCTGTGCCTGGTCCCTTGCATGGCTTGCTCTGCCTGATCCCTTGCATGGCTTGTTGTGCCTGGTCCCTTGCATGGCTTGCTCTGCCTGATCCCTTGCATGGCTTGCTGTGCCTGGTCCTTGCATGGCTTGCTCTGCCTGATCCCTTGCATGGCTTGCTGTGCCTGGTCCCTTGCATGGCTTGCTCTGCCTGATCCCTTGCATGGCTTGCTCTGCCTGATCCCTTGCATGGCTTGCTCTGCCTGGTCCCTTGCATGGATTGCTCTGCCTGATCCCTTGCATGGCTTGCTGTGCCTGGTCCCTTGCATGGCTTGCTCTGCTGGTCCCTTGCATGGTTGCTGTGCCTGATCCCTTGCATGGCTTGCTCTGCCTGGTCCCTTGCATGGCTTGCTCTGCCTGATCCCTTGCATGGCTTGCTGTGCCTGGTCCCTTGCATGGCTTGCTCTGCCTGATCCCTTGCATGGCTTGCTGTGCCTGGTCCCTTGCATGGCTTGCTGTGCCTGGTCCCTTGCATGGCTTGCTCTGCCTGGTCATGCAAGATATCAGTTGAACGACAAACAAAAATAGAGCATGAACCAGATGTTGGGTTTTGAGATACCATACATTCCTTCAACCAAACTTATTTACGAGTGTTTATACGACGTACCATGGGATTAACAAGCATTGTAATGTGGTTTTAATGGGAGAGAGAGAGAGAGAGAGAGAGAGAGAGAGAGAGAGAGAGAGAGAGAGAGAGAGAGAGAGAGAGAGAGAGAGAGAGAGAGAGAGAGAGAGAGAGAATACAGCAATGGAGCCGTTGGGGGTAATGCACAATAACTGTCGGGTTTTTAAGGTAGATGGTCTTGACGTCAACCAGCAGTATCACATAAGCTGGGTGTCTACATGACAACCGCCCGAGGATGCCCGCAGGCACTCCTCGGGCAGCAACCTGACAGCAACTTGCACTTGGTGTCTCGCACGCGCACAGAGCTCTGTAATAATCTTATATAAGTTAGCGTCACTCACCTATCAGCGACTCAAATATCATATTCCTAAACTGTGGCACTAGTGAACAGACTTCTACTTATAATGCCACTGACATGACATACCACTGGCAGCTCGGGTGATGCTACATGCAGGATATCCTCGTCATGCAGGTAGATAGTCAAATACATACGATGTAAACAGACTGGCAGTCACTATACAAATGAATATCAGGCAATGATTCTATACAATGTAAAAAAAATATCGTACAACAGGGAAAATATATATAACGTTCTCGTAGATCATACAGAAAGTATAATGAATTTTATTGGATCATAGTGGGAATCAGAGGAGATTGATCGACCACTATTCAAGTGGGTTACGGATTCTGGATTAAAATGTATACAAAAGAGTGAAGAGAACTTAACAGGCAAGAGTAACCTGGTAGACACAAGTCACATCTCTTGAGGTCCAGAAATAGCAGAGGACATGAATAAACAATGTACAATAGAAATGTACCCAGAGTTAAATGGATTGACACAGTCATGTAATCTGATACACAGTCCTGCAGAGGAACTCTTAAAATATAAGCAACTAAATTACATGAACACACACAAAAAAATCAGAGGCAACTAAATGCAAGAACAGACATTAATTTCCTTATACAATATGGAAGAATAATGTGAGGTGATACGTGGTTACACAGAACTGCATAATGACACACAAAGGTAATGGCTGAAATAACTGTTCATCTGTGCAAAGTATACATACACATTTAATCCCAACTTGCTAAAGAAATATTAATATGCCAAGTGTTTATCTGATCTTGAGGATTCAGATTCACTCACCTCGACTGAAAGGAACTAAGTAATGCTGTCTGACACCTGGTGTGTCCTCATCACCTGTCATGGCAGCAAGGAGTAGCGACAGTCAGGCCGTGTGTCAGTCAGGTAGTTAGAGATGGAAGGGAGAGGGTCAGAAAGATGGTCAAGCTCTAACTCTCCAGTCTGAGCGTCAGTAGTCCTATTAATATCGTCACTAATCAACTTCATATGGTCCAAAATCGATTCCTTACACTGCCCATTGCTTATTTCTCCAATTTTGTACTTATAACCACTTATTCAATAATTCAATAAGGACCAACAATTTTTTGGTCGAACTTTGGCAATGAAGAAGTCCTATTGAAATTAATTAACATTACTCTCAATCTAACTTTATTTTTTGTTGGTTTTGCTCAAGCAGTTGTGACTTTAGTAAATTCTGCTGTCAACTTCTGAACTGTTTCTTTGATTCTCCTAAAGAGACCTTGTGCTCTACAGGTACGAGTCATTATGTAGTAATCGTCATTATAATTGGGTTGTGGACCGGAGTACAGCAACTCGTAGAAGCTTATCTACACCATACAGAGTATAATGTGGTGTCACCTACAGAGGCACTATATGTGGAATTACATATTGAACACCAGGTATTGCTTCGTCCCGTGTTTTGCACATAAATATTCGAGTAATTTCTTGTTTGTCTTTTCAGCTAAGCCACTACTGGTTCAGCTAAGCCACTACTGGTTCAGCTAAGCCACTACTGGTTCAGCTAAGCCACTACTAGTTCAGTTAAGCCACTACTGGTTCAGCTAAGCCACTACTGGTTCAGCTAAGCCACTACTGGTTCAGTTAAGCCACTACTGGTTCAGCTAAGCCACTACTGGTTCAGTTAAGCCACTACTGGTTCAGCTAAGCCACTACTGGTTCAGCTAAGCCACTACTGGTTCAGCTAAGCCACTACTGGTTCAGCTAAGCCACTACTGGTTCAGTTAAGCCACTACTGGTTCAGTTAAGCCACTACTGGTTCAGCTAAGCCACTACTGGTTCAGCTAAGCCACTACTGGTTCAGCTAAGCCACTACTGGTTCAGCTAAGCCACTACTGGTTCAGCTAAGCCACTACTGGTTCAGCTAAGCCACTACTGGCTGGATACTGGGGGGGGGACGATAAAGCACAACTTATCAAGCATTTCATTATAAAATTCACCTCCGTTATCTGTTACGAGGGATTTAGATGCAATAAATCTACAGATAATGCGTTCTTTAAGTGCTCTGGCTGGTGCCTCTGCAGTTTCATCTGTTACAGTTACTAATTCAAAGTATCGTGTGAAATGGTGAACCGTCATACATGAATGTTTGTTACCATGGAAGGAACCTTGGAAATAGATCAGTAAGTCAAGCGATACTTTTTCTCATAGTTCACTGGTAGTTGGGTAAACCTGAATGAGGTTAGGTCTTCCAACAGTACTTGGGAGCTAATGTACTGTTATGTGAAGTACCCAGCGGTTAGTCCATTGTCTTGGGAAGTACCTGACAGTTAGTCTACTATAGTGGGTTGCTTTCTGGGAAATATTTAAATATAAAAACAGGACACCACGAGCATTTTCTACCCTCTCTCTCTCTCTCTCTCTCTCTCTCTCTCTCTCTCTCTCTCTCTCTCTCTCTCTCTCTCTCTCTCTCTTTCTCTCTATCTCTTTCTCTCTCTCTCTCTTTCTCTCTTTTCTTTTTACACAGGGTTTGACAAGGTTAGGTTAAGGATTCCTAACTTTATTGACAAGCTAAGAGCTGTTACCTACATCAGCTCATTTGAAAGCATTTTTATTGTTATGAGACATACAAGTAGGGAACAGGATGAAGTTGGAGCCATCTGTGGGCCAGCATTTTCATTTGATCAACTGACTTTATCTCGTTGACATCATTATGCTGTACGAATGTGTTCTATACTCGAGTCATCCTGGGATATATATGACCTCAGATGGAGTGATGTTCTGGAGAAGCGTACAGCCAGAGTGAAGTTGCGGCTTTCTGCCCGTCTTGTGGCATAAAAGTTTGTTTCACGCTGTCCTCGAAGTGGATCCAAGTGTGGTACTTTGACAATGTTGGCCTTGTACATAACAGTAAGGCCACCCACATCCCTCCTGTGTTGAAGGCTCTGCTGAAATGACAGATTTATCCAGGATGAGTCCAGGCGAGAGATGAGACGTCTTGCTCTGTTCTCTACTCTATCAAGCAGTCGCAGATGAGAGGGGGTAGGGAGGCAAACTCTCTCTCTCTCTCTCTCTCTCTCTCTCTCTCTCTCTCTCTCTCTCTCTCTCTTAGAAATACATTCAAATAAGGAAGGATATAACAATGACAAAATTAAGGGAATCAAAGACAGACACTTAAGGTAAACACAGAAAACATAAACACAATGGAAACAAACACTCGACCCGAGGCGAGACAAAAACAGATTGAGAGAAACAATAGGGGAGGTGGGAGTGGGAAGTGGGGAAGTGACATCCCCTGACAGTGACCCTGAAAGTAGGGAAGGTTGGTGAGACTGTCAGGGAGGGGCGATTTAGCACCCCTTGGGAAGCAACTGGGTACATATAGACTGCAAAAATGCAAGGACCAGCCAGTTCTGCGTTTGCCTTCCACCGGTCCACAAGATTCCCTTGTCACTTCCATCCCTACTACGCCCACCGCCCATCGGTCTACCACCCACCATCC